CATTTCAAATATCAAACCAGATATTACAATCCGAAATAAAAATATAACTTGTCTGCTAATTGATATAGCAATACCAACTGACAGGAATGTAATTAAGAAGGAAGGGGAGAAGATCTTGAAATACAAGGACCTTCACATAGAAATACAGAGAATGTGGAAAGTGAAAGTACAAGTAATCCCAATAATTACAAGAGCAACTGGAACATCCTTCAAGTCACTTAGAACATATTTTTGGCCAACTTCCGGGCAAACACAACATTAGGGAACTTCTGAAAACTGCCAATTTAGGATCTTCATATATCATTCGAAAGACGCTGTAGTAAAATATATAGTTATCTCTCACAATAAAACTATATAATACATGTAACACATTAAAAAAAATGTATTTCGGAATTAGCTGCTGCACTATTTACTTCAGGGGCAAGGTTTTTCTCGGGTACATAAAACTAAATACCCTATAAAGTGGTGAATAGATGGAATAATGTTAATAATAAACATACTTATAAATTTTCCTTGTCTAAGTTACGGAACGACCACTTACAAAAAGAAACCTTCATAGTCCCCTCGCCGGCTAACGGGAGTGACATCAGCTTACCACTCACATTATACCTGCCAACCAAAGTTATATTTTTCATTTGACCTCCGATAACGATTTCTTTCTTGTCGAAATCAAAACTGTGAACAGAGAGAAAAACAAAATAACAATTACTGTGGATCTTGCATAGAACTGAATCTGCGCAGTATTTTTCCCTCGTATCAAATAAAGTGTAGTTTATTTCTAGACAACAAGAGGGTTTAATCTCAACATAATGCAGTACATGAGGTATGAATTATTAATTAACATTTATGCTAATTGGTTTCAATTTATATTACTAAGTTGACCTTTATAAGTTCTCAGTTATATTTATGAGTCCGTATTAAAATACAGCCGGCTTTCGAGAATTAAGTTATTTTCGAGTTTAAAGGCGCTTGTTACTTTTATGCATGATAAAGTCAGTGGTTTAATCCCAATATTTTAGAAATTGGAATTGTGTGAAGACATTTGATTCCACTGACAAGGTTTAAAAGTAGGATTTGATGTTTCAACGGCGGTGAGTCCAAAGATGGCTGTGTCCATGTAGTGGGGTAGAAGTTTACCAGCGTTTCCGAGGTCCTTGCTACCTCCATCATCAGTGTGATGTGGAGGCAACACCTCTGAAATGTTGGTAAACTTCTACCACACTACATGGCGCTACAACGCAGGAGACAGACATCTTAAGATTGAAATGGTGTACTCCTCGGAATACAACAAAGTACCAAAGGTGTTCTTTGCGCCACACATTCCCCAGAGTTTTCTTCTCCAATGCAAAACTTATAATAACAATAATTAATAAAACAAATTTTTATCGTCTTAATTTGTAGAAGTAGTACATTTATAAGCTCATACACGCTCGTCCATGCAAGTGCAGTAATTAATTTTAGGGAGTTCAACAATTCACTTCCTTCAACAGAATAGGCCTCCTCATTTAATGCCAGGCCTTGTTAGGTGTGTCATTTGTCATCATGTTTTGACGCGTCCTCAGGTTGCGCATGAAGGAGAAGGCCTCCATACATGAAGGGCAGCTGCAAATGTGTTGAATAAGCAGTCGCGGACAACCGGCAGTGGGTGATCCTCAAGTTTGCTGGTTGGGCGTGGGGCTAACAACCCAAGATACACAGACTTATTTGCTCTATACGGTGTAAGGAGAAAATGCCACAGCAGTGAAAGGAATCTTTTATTATACCAGTTCATAAGAAAGGTGATAAGACTGATTGTAATAATTATCGAAGAATCTCCCTCTTATCACCTACCCACAAAATTTAATCATTCTTCTGGCCAGGCTGACTCCATATGCCAATGAAATTTTTGGGAATCGTCAGTGTGGGTTTCGTCGTAATAGATCTACAACTGATCAAACTTTCTACACTCGCCAGATACTGGAGACAAAAATTGGAGTACAATGGAACAGTCCATCAACTCTTTATAGACTTCAAATAAGTCTATGACTCAGTTAAAAAAGAAGCTTGTTTCAACATTTTTGTTGAATTCGGTATACCTAAGAACCAGTTACGCTAATTAAAACGTGTTTAAGTGAAACATACAGCAAAATTCGTGTAGGTAAACATCTGCCCAATACATTTCCTATTCAGAATGACCTGAAAGAGAGAGATGCTCTGTCGTCACTGCTTTTAAATTTTGCCCTAGAATTTGTTATCAGTAAAGTCCTAGAAAATCAGTGCTGTTTCGAATTGCGTTTATTTTATGCTGATGATGTTAATCTGCTGAGCGATGATATAAATACTATAAAAGCGAACATTGAAACATTCTTAAGGTTTAGTAGGGATATTGGTATAGAAATGAGTGCAGAAATGACAAGTATATGATTATGTCTCGGTATCAGAATTCGGGACAGATCCAGAATATAAGGATAGCTAATGAATTGTTCGAAAATGTGACAAAATTTAAGTACTTGGGGAAGACACTAACAAGTCAGAATGACATTTATGACCAAATTAAAAGCAGATTAAATTCAAGGAATGCTTGCTATTATTCAGTCAGAAATCTATTGTCTTATGTAAAATGACAAAAGTCAAAATACACAAAAGTGTAATTTTGCCAGTTGTGCTGTATTGTGAAATCTGATCTCTCACTTTGAGGGAGGAACATAGATTGAGGATCTGTGAGAACAGAGTGTTGAGAAAGATATTAGGACCCAAAATGTAGGTAGACGGATCACGTAGAAAAGTGCATAACGATGAGCTTCACGGCCTGTACTCCTCACCTGATAGTGTTACGGTGAAAGAATGGAGAAGGATGAATTGGGCAGGACATGCGGCATGCATGGGTAAGGGGAGAGGGGTTTATAAGGTGTTATTTGGGAGGAGACCGCTGGGAAGACCGAGGCGTAGGTGGAAGTTTAACGTTAGATGGATTATAGGCAGACAGATGTCATGGAGAGAACTGGATGCAGCTAGCTCAGGGTAGAGTCAGAAGGAGGACTTTTATGAACGCGATGATGAACCTTTCCGTCTCATAAAGAACGTGAGCTATTCTTTGACGCGAGAATATACAATCGACTTTTCAAAGGCTACGCTGCACCTTGGAGTGAGTGTGATCAAATGCCAGTACGAGCATGTCATAAACACTAATATCAAATAGTTCATGTGACTATCGATAGATGGCAGCACGTATACTTTAAATGAGCATGGGTAACAGCGTCGTGGCTGAGCATCGTCCTCCCATGTCATGAATTTGAGCATCAATAACGTCTGTATCATCTATTAAAGGACGTTTTGTGGTACGAATTTGGACCAGTGTTTGATGACCCGAGCTTCATTCCAAAGTTTATCGGAATCCTTTCGTCTGTTCTCGAGTAAAGATATGGTAGAAAGTTTAGTTACTATGACCACAGACAGATGGCAACACGACCTCAGCTGACGCGACAGACACAGATGGCAGCATAATCGATAGTCGGGGGCAAATCCGAGTTGAGGCCTATTGGACATAATCCAGTGAGCGTAAGTGCTTGGGCAAGCATGCTGGGGAAAGGGTAAAAATTACAAGGGTAGCCATGCTTTGGAGGCAGTTCTGGGGTGGTCTCACTAGGGGTGGTGGAAGACTAAGACTAAATGTAAGTGAGAAAGGACTGGGAAGTAGAGTCCCACTGCTGCGAACTCTGGGGTGGCGGGAGGTTCATTAACGTTTTTAGGGAGGAAGCTCCTGGGATTGCTTTGTTCCTTCGTTCGCCCTGGTGATTGCCTTATTCCCAGAGGGCCACATCGATGGGGGCTAGCCAAACGACTCGACAGATAGTTATGAATGGATCATACGTTGTGTCAGATTTGGATTTTTCACAGCGGTGAGTATGATTATTCTTATTGGTTGTGACGTCATGTAGACTCGTAGGTAGATTTAATCGTTTCGGAGAAACATTCTGCCTCCAGCTTCAGCCCTGAAGATGGAGACAGTATTTTTCTTCGAAACGTTGATATTTACCTACGCATCTACGCGGCGTCACTTCTCAGGTCCCATTCTGTGCCTTTCGCTCGATAAAAGGTAAAGAACGCTAAATGAAACCACTAACAGTTGGCTTGCTGGCCATGCGGAGAATACCTATACAAATCGCACATCACCTTATGCTTGTCAAACGTGCATCCTTTGCTCCAGTCAGGGATACATCCCATAGTGAGGATTCCAAATGTCCACCGCTCATCCTTATTCGTTTTATAATAAGTGGCTCCAGTGGCGGGATGCTGTATTTCCTTTCACCTGAAATTTACAGCATAAAAGACAACAAACTGTAAGTCGATATGACAGTGTACACGGAACAAATGTATTCTATAAAAGTCCCCCTTACCCTCCAAGTGCATACCAAAATATTAGGGCCTCTGACGAGAGCGACGCTTTCTGTTTCATCCTAGTGCTTTGACACTTTTACTGCTTATTGCTGCCATCCGGAGAAACTACTTTCACATCCTTCCAGTTGACATAATCCGGAAGGCCAATATACAGAATGTCCTAATACGATGTATATGCGTTATAATACGAAATATTATTAAACTTATGTGTAAACATACTTTTGAGACACTCTGTATTCTATGTTTCACAGCAGCAGAAACACTCGCCTCCGTTCAATATCAACATTCTGTGTATCACGATCTAGATTAAGTAATTGATTCTGCAGCAGTGACCTCCGAACATTCAACAATGTTAATAAAGAAAAAGGCGTCTTTCTACGCGAAGCACCCATCTCCCATCCTCATATACAATCTCCGTTTTCAGACTACGTTAATATTATGTTCCGTGTCCTCAATCGTGTAAGTACAGCAGACCTTCAAGCACCGCGGTGGATACGTATCTCTAAAGCTACGCATTCCATCATTCCGCGTAGGACGAACTCAATAAAGTATGGAATTAATGACGATGCGGGGCCTCGGCCGTGGAAGGTCAAAGTAAACAAAAACAAACGAACAAACATAAATATACTGTAATGATGTTTATGTGAACAAACTGTAGTATCATCTGTAAAGAAAGTATTAAAATAAAATATTAAGGAAATGTTTAGCCAACTGTTGCTCTGCTCTTACCACCGCGCAACTTATCTAGAATCTTTGTTCTCTCATCTAGTGTCATGACGTTACAACATTTATTTGCGTGTAATTAAATATTCCGCGGTCAGAAAATTATATTTCGAATTTATTCAACACTATTTAGTATTTAAAAGAATACGCCAGGTTCAAGTCTCAGCCCCGAGACCAAACATCCTGACTGAGGTATTCTGTGATTATCACCATCCCTCCAGGTAAATGCCAGGGCAGTACCTTAAATTAGGCCACCACCACTTCCTTCCACACTCGTTCCAGTTCATCATTCACTGTTATTCTCTCATTCGCTTTTATACGCACCCTCTGTCGTGCTGAATGCAAGGTTAAATAAACTGCTAATGCAAATACATTTATAATCGAATCCGAGTTGTATGAGGGTTCCGTAAACAGGATTTCCGTGTCTGCATCGTAGCTACTTTGCCGTTTGTTGAACTCTACAAAACACAAAGGTGTTCATTGTGCAACACATTATCATAAATATGTAACCTACCTAATATTAATTTATTTCTAATAGATTACTAAGTGTTCTGTTCTAAGAAAAATGATTTATGCCACTTTTCCACTGAAAACAACTACTGGTAAATTTGCTACAGAAATTGTTCCACACGCAGGACAAGTTTACAAGTAAATGCTCATGCTCCTAAATAAGACAATTTTTAGGAATACGGCTAATGCAGGATATATGGCCACTTCGCTGATATATTAATACCTCCACAGATTTTCAAAAGAAATCAACAGCATTAGATCACCAACTTCAACCACATTGTGTTTAGTAAGACAGGCAGTCGCCAAATGTTCGGCGCCGAGTGTTTATTTATAGTATACTTAACGACGCTTTTTCAGTAGCTCAGACTGTATGAGATGAATAGTAATTTGGAAAGGATGTATAATAAATTATTATTGGCCTAATTTAACTTGCTAGCTCTGCATTGTATGGAGGGACTGAGAAAAACCACGGAAATCCGGAATTGCCTGTCTCCTGGCCTAGACTTGAACCTGAGATTTACCGAGTATGAAGGAGGAGTGTTAACCACTCAACCTAGACATTCGGTGGTATTACGTGTTATCAGATGCAATTTTAATAGCAGGTGAACAAAGGAGACAACATGAATCTCACTTTCAGAACATAGTTTAATGTGTCATTAATGTTCATAAACAGTAATGTATTAAATTATTTAGAGCTGCATTAAAGGAATATACGAGTGTGTACCTGAATTTTATGTCACTAGAGCAGAGCGCTCCTTTCGGAGCTCCTGGGGGGGGGGGTCAAGATTTTAAAATCTTGTGTAAGAAACTAAAGCAACCCCCCATTCGGGGGGGTTAAAACACTTGACCAACCCCCCAAAAGGGGGGGTTGGTCAAGTGTTTAAAACGCAACCAACATTAAAATCTTGAGTAAGACACTAAACTAACCCCCTTTTCGGCATTGTTGTGTTGGTATACCCAACAATGCCGAGTAAACAAATTTTTGTTTGATGTCGTGTGTTCTATTATAACCAACCAATTTGTAGCCA